GAGCAGGCCAGAGGCTGGGGCAGACGGGCCTGAGCCAGGAGGAGCAGGGAACTGGGGCGTCTGCGGGCCTTGAACCCAGCAACCCACAGAGGCTTCATTTTCTAGGTAGCTCAGCTGTTGCCTAAACCCTGCTTTTAGCCAAGAGGCAGGTAGGGACACCTGTGTCTTTCTCTATCCAGAGCCCTCTTCTTCCTGGTGACAGCACCTGCCTTTGCTCTGGGGGCTGTGTGCTGTCCCCAGCAGGGGCACTGACTGTGGCCCCTCCATTCCCTGCCTCCAGGGGCTGGCCACAGGACAGAACGGGGTCAGGATAGTGAGGAAGCCCGCACCTCCTTCCTTCAGCGGTGCCCTCTCCACCCGGCGCCAGGAAGGATCTTCTGGATCTGCTGGAGGGCCTTCAGAGCCTCCTGCCCCGAGGTGCCGCTGACAGGCCTGAGCATGCTTGGGGGTGGGGGTGGCCCCTGAGGCCAGGAAGTGGGGACACAGCCCCAGCGTTGCATACACCATGGGTAGGCCACACTGGCTGGGCAAACCCTGCCCGACCCCGCCATCCGTAGGGCACCAGAAGTCCCCGCCACGCAGCACCCCACAGAGGAAGGTGGGCTCTCTCGTTACAGGCGTCTTGGGAGGGCGGCTCTGATATTTGCTAGAGCTGAGCATGGCCCCTATGGTCTCAGCCCACTTGGGAGGGCTCGTTCTGGGAGTGGCGAGAAGGCCACCAGGACCCTCCCTTGGGTGTCTGCTCCCCGCTTGCCGCCCCCTTGGCACTTTCTGATTCTCCACTGCCCCCCAGGTCTTGGTAGCCCCCATGAGGGATGTCTGCTTTGTGACCAAAGGGAGGTGACGAGGAGGATCATGGGCTTGGAGGTTAGGTCATGAGAGGCATGGCGGGGGACTCAGGGACAAGGGACGGACCTGGGAGGGAAAGGGGCTGCTTCTGCTGCATAGGGGAGGGTCCAAGGGCCCTTCACAGTCTGAGAACAGCCAACGGGAAATAGCCAACATCTTCCCCAAGGCCACAAGGCACACTGTGCCCTGCGCTCTCAGTCCTCTACCCTTTCCTGGGCCCTGAAGCTGCCCAGCCCTCCCACCCCCACACCTCAAAGCCTGCTCTGCTCCACTGACAGTCATCTTCCTTGGGCCGTCCTGCTCTCCCCACGTCCCTCCAGCAGACCTCCCGGGTCTTCCAGCAGACCTGCCCCGCATCAGGCTGGGCCTGGGCCTTCCCGGCCCCGGGTGGAGAGGGCACCGCTGAAGAAGGAAGGAGGGGCGGGCTTCCTCACTATCCTGACCCTGTTCTGTCCTGTGGCCAGCCCCTGCCTCTGGCAGCCTGGAGAGCTAATTAGCGCTTCTTCTGGATTACCTACATTCTGTGCCCTCTCCCTCCCTTCCCCGCCCCGCCCCAGTCCTGTCCTCTGGGGCGGGCGGGGGGGCGGGGGGCAGGGTCAGGCTCCGGTTCACCTACTGGAAGAAAGGCAGGAGGGCTGCCCGGTGAGGGAACAGACCAGGCTTGGCTGGAAGGGAGCCTCCCCCACCGCCCTGAGACCCTTTCAAGCCAGGCTTGGAGCATGGCCCCCGGGCTTGGGTCCTGGTCACGTGCACAAATTGTTTGAATAATTCAGATTTAAAAAGACCTACTTTCCGGTCACACCATTTCCTGCTAAAGAGCAGATGGGGGGAGCATCTGAATAATGCATTCGCACACCCTAGGTTTTCAGCTGAGGCTGGGCACTGGGCCAGCCTCCTGCTTTCAGCCCCAGGCCCTGCTCAGCCCTGTGCCACCTGGCCGGTCCTGCCTCTGGCGGGGTACCACTGCCAGGGTGTGGCCCTGGACTCGGGACTTCGGCCGGTCTCTAAGCCACTTATCTAAAGAAGGAGGGAGTGTCTCCAGGAAATCAGGAGGTCAGCTGGGTACAAATTCTCCACGCCGTGGCAGCAGGTCCGCCATGGGCTCTGATTTCTGCCCCACTGAGGAGGTGGCTGGGTGGCAGATGGGGGCCAAAACTGTAGGAGGCCTGGGCAAAATGGGGGGAGGGGAGGGGAAGGAGGGCAGGCTCCCCAGAAGGCCCTTCATACCCTTGAGGCCCAAAAGTCTCTGGCCGGGGCATGTGTCCCCAGGGCTAGAGGGCCCTGCTACTTGGGGACTGGCCTTGGAGAGGGGAGAAGAACCCTGGGACCCTGTGGCTTCCACACACTGAAGGGAGAGGAAGCCCCAGTCTGTGTTGGAGATCTGGAAAGAAGGACTAGGGCTCTCTACTTCTTTCCTCCTGCCTTCCCCTCGACTTTGCCCTCACACCATCCATAAACCTGTAAAGGAGGATTTCAGGTCTGCGCCACACACCTGCAGATTAGCCGGGGCTCCCCGTCTACACCCAGAACCTCAGATGGCTGGTGCAGACTCTGGCCTGGTGTTCTCGTGTGTGGCCTTGCTCTGTGGCCTTGGGAGGAACTAGGGATGGGCCCCATCAGGCCTGCAGTGGGAACAGACAAGCCTCTGGTCTGGCCCTGTAAGCACCTCCGCTGCGCAGTCAGGCCAGGCTGGTGGAGGATGGGTTCTGAGGATACCACAGGTTTCTTCCCATCCCCGCAGGAGTGCAGAGGTCTCCAGAGAGACCATCACCCCCATTTCTTTCTGCTCTGCTGCTGGCCCTGCCCCACCTCATTCCCCCTTCCTCCTTCTCCTCCTCCTTTCCCATCTCATTTTCTGCCTCTCCCTTCTCATTTCCACATTTCTAAGTTCTGGGCCTCGGTGGGCACTGAAGGCTGGCATCTGGCCTGCTGGTTTCAGAGGTATGTCACTGACCCTGAGTCTGGACCCTCGGGTCCATTGTTTCTGGGACCCACCTGCTAGTGCCCAGAACACTCGTCTTTCCAACATCGCATCAGCCACCCCTCCTCCAGAGCAGTGGGGAGCACCCCAGCGCCGCCAGCCTTGTTCTGGACACAGCCATTCGATTCCAACACTCCCCACTGTCCTCCCCCTCTGGCTGTCGTACCGAGCCTTGTCCCTCTCATTCAGGCCACAGAGCATCACTCCAACCCCTTTCCCCCATCCCATGGACCTTCCCTGAGGACCCACTGTGTTCCTCGTGCCCTGCTTAGCGGGTGGAGCAGCAGGCAAGGGAGTCAAAGCACCATCTTCATCAGGGGAGATGGGCAAGGAGCGAAGCCGCCCACAGACGAAACCAAGTGAGTTCTGGGAACAACAGCTGAAGAGGAATGTGGCTGAAAGGGCACTGGGGAAAGACGAAGGTGCAGGGCCAGGGAGACCTTTCTGTGGAGGAGACTGGAGGTGATGGGGGAGAAGCTCCCGGGCACATGGAGCCTCAGGGGCAGTGTGGATGTGGTGACCGGTGTATTTAAGGAGCGGAGAGGAGCCAGAGCTCTGACCAGCGAGGAGCACAGAGGAACCTGGAAGCTGCGGGAAGGGCAATGGGAACTTGGGGTGTCCTTGCTGGGGTGGGGCTGTGGTGGCCCAGTGGGGGTCAGAGCCCATGTGGGGTGAAGAGGTTGGGGTGATAGCCATCACGGGAGACCGGTTACATGATGGCGGGGGGAGACTTCGTGTGTGTGTGTGTGTGTGCATGTATGTGTGTGCGCATATGCGTGTATGTTTGGACACATTCATTCCCCAGCCCCGTCTGCTGAAGCAACGGCATTCCAGTAGCAGTGAGCACACCTGGAGCCCTGATCCTGGCTTCCAAACACCATTCCCTGTTAAAAGGAACCAGGACTCCTTGCAGAAATGGCTGAGTTCAGGGCAGCGCAGGGAGAGCGTAAGTTGAGCCCGGTGCATCCGGTACCCGGAACTGAGGAAGGGCTCCGAGAATGATGGGGACACACTTGCATGCTGGTAGGAAGATCCCATAGAGTGGGAGGGGGAGGGACTGGGTACACTCTTCCCTGGGTGGAAAGGTATGGGCTCCAGACCTGAAGGGTACACACAGGCCTGGAGGAAAAGGGGCCTGGATCTGGCTTGGGGTAACTAGGGTCAGGGAGGGGCTGTAGGATCCAAAGAGAGGCAGCCTGTGGGTGATTAGTTGTTGGAACTGGGGAGCCAGGGGAAAGACAGAGGTGGTGGTCTGGAACCCTTCCACTGACATTTCTGGGGCTGCACATGTATGACCCACGTTTACCTCCTTTCTGCTCCCTCCCGAGGAGCTTCAATTCTTAGCAGCCTTCCAGAGGTTGACCATCTGTCTCCCTCCTGACACTCTTTTCTGTGCTCACACCTCCACGTCCAGGCGGCCATTCCCAACAGGAGTGCCTTAGACTTGACCTCCGGAGACCACACACTGCCCCCACCCGCCCAAGCTCACAGGAGACCCACGCCGTCTCTGAGACTGGCCTTGTTCCCCCGACCCTCGGTTGGCGGGGGTCCACTCCCGGGCCGGCAGAAGCTGGGCTTCCCTGGAGGTCGATCCCGTCCCGCGTGGGCCCCTTTGGGATCCAGTCAGCTTGTTGGCACCCCCAGGCCTGGCGGCCGGCCTGGGCAGGATGCGTGCGCATGCAGGTAGCCGTGCAGAATGCAGGTGCAGGGTGCTGAATGCAGGGTGCAGGATGGGATACTGTGTGAGGGATGTAGGGCGGGATGCTAGAATGGGTACCGGTGCAGGGCCCGGAGAGTCCCTGCTGTGGTCCTGCGGCCTCCACCCACGTCCCCTTGGCTGGGAAGCCGAGCGGGTCCGCAGCAAGGAGCCCCCAACCCCGCTACTGCAGGGGCGCCGCGCGAAGACCCTGGGGCATCCTCTAGGGTCGCACCAGGCCTGGGTGGTGTCCCGCGAGCCGCTTCCCCTAGGGCGGGCGCGGCCCCTTTAAGCGGCTCGCGCACGCTCCTGGGGGCCGCGCGGGGAGGAAGCGCGCGGACGTGCGCGCGTCGGAGCCGCGCGTGCGCGCGCGCGGCGTGCGCGGTGACGCGGCGTGGGGTTTCCCGAGGCTGCGGGCAGGGGCCGCCGCGCCCATCCCGATGGCTGGAGGCGTCTGAGGGGCGGACGGAGGCGGCGGCGGAGCGGGAGCGGGAGCGGGCGCGGGCGCGGGCGCGGGAGTGGAGCAGCCGCCGCGGGACGGGACCGATCCTCGCCGGCGCACCTGCCCGCAGCGCCCGCGGAGCGGCCCGAGCGCGACCACCTCCAGAGAGGCGGCCGAGGCGGCTGAGGCGGCTGAGGCGGCGGGGCGCGGGCGAGACCGGCGGGACGAGGCGCCGAGGTGAGCGCGGCGGCCCCTGCCCCTGCCGGGAGACCGGGGCCCGGCCCCTCCCCCGCAGTCGCCCTCCGGAGCCGCCCCGCCCCCACCCTCCCCGCCCCCACCCCGCCGCCGGGCAGCGCGTCTTCCTGCCCCGCCCGGGTGGGGTCGCGGGCCTGGAGCGGGCGGGGACCCTGCGGGCTGCGGCTGGGGTCCGGGCCCTGGTTGGCGCTCGGGTGTCCCAGGTCCGGGGTTCGGGGTCTGCGGCCGGGATCGGGCTCCGGAGCTCGGGGGCAGGGGTCGGAGGGGCCGGGGTCTGGGCGCGGGGGCTCTGGGATCCTGGCTTCAGGGCTGGGGTCCCGGTTCCAGGTCCGGGGCCCGGCGTCCCGAATCGGGGCGGGTGTCGGGTCCGCGGCGCGGGGCCCGGGTCCCAGGTCGGGGTCCGCGATGCGCGGTGCGCGTCCGGCCCGACCTGCTTGCGCGGGGGCCGTGTGCGGGGCGGGGGTCTCAGGCCGGCGGGCCGGCGGCGAGAACAAAGGGAGCGGCGGGCGGAGGGGCTCGTCCTTAGCCCCTGGGCGCTCAGTCCTGACACCCCTTTTCCGGGGCCTCGGAAGTTGGCGCCGGCGGCGGCCCACGGAGAAGGGGGGCCGCGGAAGGAGGAAGCTGAGGCGCGGCCGGGCGCCGCGGAGGCCGCCAGACACAAAGGGCTGAGCCCGGGACGGCCGAGCGCGGCGGGCCCCGGGGCTCGCGTTCCGAGCGCGAAGTGGGAGGCAGCCCCGCCGCGAGCCCGCCGTCGTGGACCCCTCGCCGGGCGCGGCGCGGGCGGGGCGGGCCGGGGGCCGGGGGTGCGGGCGGCGGGGCGGGCCGGGGTCCCCGCGCCCCCCGCCCCCGCGCCGAATGAATGGCTCGGGCCGGGCGCCGCTACAAGATGGCGCGCCGCCGCCGCTGCCATTGTCAGCCGCCGCGCGCTCCCGGCCTCCTGCGCCCCGGTGGTGTTGGGGGCCCACTTGCGTTATGTGGCGGGCGGGGGGCGCAGGGGACCCCGGGTGCGTGCGCCCAGTCGCCCTGCGAGCCCTGCGCCCGCGGCGGGTGGGGGAGGGGCGCTGAGTCGAAGATCCCGCCCGGGGGGTGGCCGAGCCCTCGGACTTTCGAAGGCCCCCCCCCCCCGGTATTTTTTCTTGCGGATCGTTTGCGCTTCCGAAGGTATTGATACCGCCTCCAGCGCCCCGGATTGCACCGCTGCGCGCGGAAGTGGTAGTGTCCGCCGGCTCCGCCCGCTGCACGGAGGCTTCTGGCCGCGACCGTGAGCCGAGCTGGAGGCCCGCGGCCCCGTGTGACTGTCTGTCGGGGCGGGAGGCTGCGGGACGCGGCAGTTCCGGGAACCCAGCTAGAGTGTCGGTGCCGCAGGCCTGTGCAGACCCCTGCGCCTGCTGTGCCCGCGGCCGTCTCTGTTGTGTGTCTTCTGTGCGTCCCAGCGCTCCGCTCTCGCGGGACGGCCCGGCCGCTGCTCCGGAGACCGGACGGGCCCGAGCTTGGCTTCGGGGTGAGCAGACAAACGGAAGCCCCGCTTTGTGGGAGTCCCTTTCCACTCTAGATCGGGTAGGATGCCCCGAGAGTTCCGATGAGTAAGTTTACAGGGATTTTTTATTGTCGAATTTGAAGCTTTGGTATTTGGGGGGTGGAGGGGTTCTTTGAAGGTAAGGTTTTAGTTTGAATTCTCTTAGATAGGTAGGGTCTATTCTAGATTCCTCCGGAAGGTGTATATTGCAACAAGAAAGTGAGCAGGCAGTTCCTTTTTTGCTTTCTTACTAATACCGGCTGTGTGGGTGGGGACAGCGTTGGTGCCACCAACATGGGAGCAGGTCTGAGATCCGCTCCCCAGCACGACTGGATGGGAGCTTTCTAACAACTGGAACTGGCCGGAAATGGAGAGCATCTGGGGTGGTTGGTTAGAGACCGATCCTGTCGGACCCAGTGGGGGGTGAGGGGGTGGCACCTCTGGCTGCTGGGAGGCTGGGACTGCAGGGCCCCCCTCTGCCCAGGTAGAGGCTCCCGGCTTGCTTCCGTGCTCCTGCAGTCACTGCGTTACAAGTGCTCCACGTTTTTCTTAGAAGTGGGAATTTGGGAAAGCGGAGTTAAGTTGTGCGATTGTGCCTGTGACTTACGCCCATTTCTTTCTGCGGCGGGGGGGGGGGGGCGTGTTAGGGCTCCATTTCATCTTCTGTCCGGATGACTCGAGAGTACGTCTAGAAGGGAAACTGTTTAGCCATGCGGTTTTGATTCAGAATTGATGCTTCCTTCAGTGAACAACTACTGGACAGAAACTGTTGCTCGGGTGTGACACTGGACTTCTCCAGGGGCTGTGTGGATAGCACCCCGGAAGTACTCACCGTGGAGTTAATGTCCGTTGAAGGACATTAGTGATACCTTTAAAGATTTCTTTGTTTAATATTTTGAATTACTTCTGCTTGGAGGGGACTTGCAGTAAGTTTCCTTAGATCGAATTTTCATCTCAGAACAGATCTAGAAGACTGTTAAAAGACTGCAGAAAAATGTAGTTTTTTTTTTTTTAAGATTGTATTTATTTTCGACAGACAGCACAAATCGGGGGAGAGGGAGAGGGACAGGGACAAGCAGACGCCCTAATGAGTAAGGAGTCCAACTCCAGGCCAGGACCCAGGACTTGAGCCAAAGTCAGACAACTGACTGGGCCACCCAGGCGCCCCTGTACTGTCTTTTTTTTAGGGTAAAACTTAAAGGTTCTTTTCAGATTTTTTTCATGCCTAGTGACTTCGATTGCAAAGCTTGAATCACCTTGGTAGACTAATAGTGACAGCTTGAGAAAGGGACTGATTTTAGAGGACTTATTTTTCAAAGCTCTGTTCTGTGACTTTTTCCTTTGCTAAATGTAGCCCTAAGATTTCTGTTGTCCATGGGCATGTTTGAAAACATTGTATTTCTACAAATCACTTTGAGAAAGGTCTTCAGGATATCTTTAGACTTGCCTATGCACCATCCATTGGTTTTTTAGCTAATACATTCTTTAATGAGTAACATTGATTTTATTTTAGACAATAAATGCAGTATTGGCATTTATTATAGTTTCTTCACTGGATTGTTTTTTCTCTGACCGTGTTGGTTTCTCTGGCTCATGTTGGTCTCCAAATTGGATTAAATTCTTACTGTCTACGGACTTTGGCTTTTAAAAGCATTAGTGGATTGGTAACAGATATTCTCAATGTTATTATCTGGGCTTGACCATATGGCTGTATTATTTTGAAACCTCTGTTACCCCAGTCTAGTAAGTCAGTGAACAAAAATATCTTAGAATCTTTTAACCCTGGGAAAAATTCTGATTTCGGGTTTGCATTCATTGCTGAATGGTTAGAGAAAGTACGAAGATGGGCCAGTTAGGTGTTGGTTTAGTGAACATACGATGGAGAGATAACAAGAGGCTTATATCGACACTGAGGTCAGATGCGCATTTCACACACAGAATCCGGAAAGGTGGAAGGAAGGGCTGGTCTGAACGTATGTGGGGGTGTGTGCCTGCATTGGGTAATGCAATATCATGTCGAGTATTCTGGTAAGAAAATGGAGCAGCACTTCTTTCTAAAGCTCTGTGTTTTGCTCCAGAACTCTTATTTGGGAAATAAGGCAATCTGTAGGCATTTAAATGGGTCCGTTAAACCTTTTAGTCCTTTCTTGTGGTGGTGCCTTGGATCAGGTGCCCTGGTAATCAATGGAAAGAAATTCCTGGTGGCTTCCAGTGATAAAAAAAAGCTTCTTTTATAGAGTAATCTTGCTTTCTTTTTCTTAAAGACTTAAGTATCCACTTACTTGACTTAATAAACTGAAGTTCTGGGGAAAGCCATTTCTACAAACACGTGTTTAAAAGACCAGAGGCACCTGGCTGGTCAGTCCGTAGAGGCTGAGACTCCTGTCTTCGGGGTGTGAGTTTGAGCCCCACGTTGGGGGTAGAGATTACTTAAAAAGAGAAAAACAAAAAAAGTTAAAGATCAAGTCAAAGAGCACCTGGGTGGCTCAGTCTTCGACTCAGGTCATGATCCCAGGGTCCTGGGATCAAGCCCTACATAGGGCTCCCTGCTCAGAGAAGGGCCTGCTTCTCCCTCTGCCTCTGGCCCGCCTGACCCCCCTCCCTTGCATGTTCTCTCTCTCTCTCTCTCTTTCAAAAAATTAAATAAAATCTTAAAAATCAAGTCAGGATTATCTAGGGTAATTTTTAAGAGATTACTCAGTTGAACCTATATATTGGCACTGATAAAAGGATATGATTTAGTAATTAGCCAGTCCAAACTTAATGCATTTTACCCAGACGGAAAAAGACTTGTATATTCTTTAGCCTGTCAGGATGAGAATTACCAGGGAATTGGTTGAACATACTGGTTACTTGTGGGTAATTGTATATTTACGTATATCTGTCTCCTGACTCAGTCCTGTGGCGATGATAAAATACAGTCCTGACGAGTGTTACAGGTTCTCTTGACTGCCTGTCCAATGTTGTAGCTGATAAAGCTTTAACAAATTCCGGACATGTTCTAATTAGACAACGGAGTGTTGTGTTAAAGCCTCTACAGTAGGTTTTCAAAAAATTGTCGTAGGAACTTTAAAATAATTCATAACTTCTTGGGGGCACCTGGGTGGTTCCGTGGGTAAAAGCCTCTGCCTTCGGCTCAGGTCACAATCTCAGGGTCCTGGGATCAAGTCCTGCGTTGGGCTCTCTGCTCAGCGGGGAGCCTCCTTCTCCCCCCCCCCCCCCGCCTGTCTTTCTGCTTACTTGTGATCTCTATTTGTCAAATAAGTAAATAAAATCTTAAAAATAAAATAAAAATTCGTAATTTCTTGAGAGGGAGAGAGGTTTCCTCCTTTCTGAAAGGACTGCTACTGTGGAGTTAAAGCTTAGTGCTGTAATTCAACTTGCTGGTTTGGGTGTGGATTTTTACTTAACTCTGTCCGTTTTCTTACATGTAAAGCAGGTATTCTAGAACCTCCTTTCCTAGCGG